CACTCTTATACAATGACTTGCCTAATTACCCTAACCTGCCTAATTAACCTAGTTAAGCCTTTAAATGTCACTTTAAGCTGAATAAAAGTATCTTGAAAAATATCTAGTCAAATATTATTTACTGTCATCATGACAAAGACAAAATAAATCAGTAATTAGAAATGAGTTATTAAAACTACTATATTTAGAAATGTGTTGAAAAAAAAATACAGGGGGGCTCATAATTCAGGAGGGCTAATAATTCTGATTTCAACAGTACACTCACAGTACAGTAAAAGGACGAACCATCACCGGCGACAGATTCATCAGCTCAGCTCTTATCAGTGAAACCGATTCGCTGCACTAGACTTGATGAAAGCAAATAATTAAAAAAATGTGACATAGAAAAGTGACTTAATTCATGGGGACAGGAGGAAGAGATGTTGTTAGGTGATTAAGATTAAAGGTCCTATAAAATTAAACTAAAGTTTTTTAGATGGTAGTACCAGTGTTGTTCGTTTTTACGATATCTATTAGCTAGTGCGCACCAAAACAGTGACAAAATTCATGTTTAGAAGACATAAAACTGATATAAACATGTAAAGCTTGTCGTTTTGTCAGTTTAGCCTATATGGATCAACGGTTTTATTCACATCACCTCATACTTCAGTCTCTCATCAAATCTTCTGACCAATCAAATGCTCTCTAGTGTCTGACATGCCCTGCCCCCTTCCAGACACTATAGACGAATTACCAACCTACGTCACACACAGGGGCGGAGCAAGCTCTAGGCAGAGGACGATCACGCCGCCCTCAACCCCAATGTGAAAACGAAAGTGAACGGTTATGAAAATGAAGTGAGGTGTCGTGGACCTTTATTCTGCCGCCCTGTGCGCGGATATAACTGAGGACGCGCGGGTGCTAAGGGAGGGAGGGAGGTGTCGCCGATGTTGCTCTCTCTATTCTGCCGCCCTATGCGCTGAAATAACTGAATAACTGAAATGGATTTGCCATCGTATTCACCAGTGCTCATGTAACAGGTTATAAAAGTGCTTTCACTTGCTTTTGTTTTTATGTACATGGCCCTTTAATTCTTAATGACCCAACTCTCTGTTCATTGGCTGGTGGCATGTTGTTAACTGGTTCCGGACGGCTCATTATTATTCGCGCCAGCTAAGAGATTGGTCGTGGTGAGTGAGTGCTCCTGTAAAGTGTATATTTTTGTTGATCTTTTTGTTTTAATTATTCACAATGTATCTTTTCTTTGTGATTTTATGATTACTGGTATGAACCCGTCATTGCAGGACGACATGTTGGACTGTCTGGGACTGATCACTGTGTTTTCATTGTGTTTGCCAGAATAAAGTGATCTGTTTGAGGCGTGATTTGGGTGCCAAATCTCATCTCTACTACACACAACGCAGAGGAAACCGAGTACTAACCGTTACACTCAACAGAAATGACTGTGATTGTCTGTCAAATCAGCTGTGTTTTTGAACGCGCTTAGCGGCGCTTGAATGTAGTGGGAAATGGACATTTTTAAAACTTCAGTACCGGGACAACAATATTACGGACAACACGAGTGTGTGTTACAGAAGACTGCAGCGTTTTATAGCTCACCACATAGGCTAAAGCAGGAAAGCATCCTCAAGGTGTTTACCTGATGCCATGAACTGAAGCCTAGGAGGACACTTAAGCTAAGACCTGTGAAGAGATGATCCCAAGGTATCCATACTGCTGGACCAGGCCGTATCTCGAGCTGATGCTGTGGTCATCATGGAGGAATGCTCAAACTCTAGTTTTACCGCAGCTTCTGTCAGAATAAATTTTGTGCATCTAACGAGCTGATTATCTTAAATCAGGTGTGTTTAAATAAAAAAAAGACATGGAAAATATATAGATCAGTGTGGCGTGAGGACTGAGATTAAGAAACACCACAGTAAAGTCACGAGGACACTACATTCTCAGTGAAAACTGTCCTTCGACTGAGACATTAAATCGAGGCCCTGAGTCTCTGTGGTCATAAAAAATCCCGGGATGCAGTTTCAGAAAAAAAGAGAAGGGTGTGCCCTCAGCATCCCTGCCAAATCTGCCTATTGGCCTCTGTCCATCAAGGCCTCCTAACCTTTCCCATATATACTAATTGGCTTCATCACTCTGTGTCCTCTCCATCAATAAACTGGTTTGTGATCAAGTCATGGAGGTGTATGCTGCACACTTGTGTTAAATGAGGAGATTTCTTTCTCCAAACAGCTGAGAAAAGAGCTATATACATTTAAATAACTATTATTTTAATTTTGTGAACTCTCAAATATAACTTTTGTTTATCATGTGATTAGACTAGGGTCACAGTAAATACATGCCTCAACGTAAATTTTAGCAAAACATAAAATACGTTGCTCCGGGTGCATTACTGCACATTTCAGATGACAAATCCACTAGAGGGCGCTATCTACTTTTTTGTCAGTCATTTATTTTCCTTCGGCTTAGTCTCTATTTCAGAGGTCAAAACAGTGGAATGAACCGTAAACCTGAAATTGCTGAAATTTCAGTATGTTAAAACTAAATATTGAAAATGAGGGGTGGGGGGCTTTTTTGCAATTGGTGCTCGCTGCAGAGCCATTTGAGGAGAGGTGAGCTCCAGAGAGGGGGAGCATGAGCTGTCGCTCCTCCTCCTGTAAGCTGTTTTAATGCGTACACCAACCCCACCCCTAACCCTACCCCCAGTGACATCACTCGTAGAAGAAGTGCGAAAAAGGTGGAGCTCAAGCTTAAGCTCCCCCTCTCTGGAGCTCACCTCTCCTCAAATGGCTCTGCAGCGAGCACCCTCTCCTTTTTTGTGCATCATCTCTTCATAGCAAACTATATGTAGAAGGGGCGTGGTCAGGCCCGGATTGGCTAATCGGGAGGACCGGGAGAATTCCCGGTGGGCCGGTCCATTATTTTGGCCACGAGGGCCGGTGTCCCTAGCTCCAGAATCTGTTGCTCTCAGCAGTCACACTTTTTAAATTTATTTATTTTTTTACTTGACCACAGTCTTCTTATTCATTATTTTAGCGCAGCTCAGCTCTTTTCATATATAACCAGCCTGCAGGTTAATGATGATATTACTCAGATGAGTCACTTTTTAGTATTCAACTGTTGTGGTTTAGTGGTTAGCATGTTAGAGCCGCCGACCTGGGTTTGATCCTCGTCTGAGTATGTTATTTATTTTTAATTTTTTTCATTTTTATTGTTAAGACATATAATACAGTTAGGGTTGTTGAACATTTAAAGTTCTAAAGCAGCTGTTTAAAAAAAAAAAAAAAAAGACGTGATAGTGTAATTAGAAACTGAATTGGAAATGTCCTTATTTTAATATAGTCATTCGTGAACTGAGGTGGGCCAGTCTGAGGCTTGAAACTCCAGGGCTGAAAAAGAGTCCCATTCCAGCCCTGGGCGTGGTTAAGCATATTGTGGCTGAAGCGTCAAGAGATAAGGAGTCGCCACTTCAAATGCTGAAGTAAATTTCAGTCAGCAATAGTCTAGCTGGTGTATTTGCATACAGCGATCTGATTGGCTAATGCTTCCGTCGGCACTTGAAAAGTTAAGCTAGTCCAAACTTCTGCAGCGAGCCCCGTGTGAACGGGGGCGTAAGACTTGAAACCTCCAGGGCTGAAAAGGAGTCCCGCTCCGGCCCTGTGTGAGACTGATAACGGCAGCCAGAAGAGAGAATAATGTTAGATTGAGGGTGCTTTCACACCTGTGAATCAATTCAGTTGTTCCGAAACAGAGATTACAATTGTTACATTGTTGCTCTTTGCTCTTGGAGCGGTTCGCTTTCACACTGCAGAGTTTCTAATCGGACCAAAAGAGCTAAAACAAGTCACGTGCGAGTAAACTCTCCTTACATTGGTCAGAGTGTCAGGGTTTATTTTGCAGCGTCCCGCTAAGCTGTCAGGAGAGGTGGTGGTTTGATGGTGATTGACAGGGTGCGCGTGCGCGACGTGTCTGAGGAGAGATGCGGTGGGGAGGGGTGAGAAGGGTGCGCGACGATGCCTATTTGAGGACCTGGAGGGAGACGCGAGATTACCGGGAGATCATCACTCGTTTGCGGGCATCCGGAGACTCGCGAAACTTCCCGCCAAACTCATAATTCTCTCTCCATATAGCCGTATATGCCTATTACATATCCATAAAACACAGTGATACAACCGCGCTTGGATCAGATCGATTTCTCACTACAATCGAACCGCTCCAGGGTTCGTTTCAATCGAGCCGAGACCACCTCATTCAAGTGATCTCGGAGCGATTACTTTGGCGCGGAACAGAGTGCGATTGCCCTGTTCACATATGCCAAACGAACTGCGCTAACTGGGCAATCGAGACACGTTCCGAAACAAAAGTGTAGGTGTGAAAGCACCCTTACTGTCCCGTCTCCATAGACACTGCATTAAAAAACACCTCACACAAGTGGTAATTTCATAATGTCATACATAGAGGTGAATAAAGGTTTATACATAAAAAAAAAAATCAAAATGTTAAAAATCTTCAAGGATTTAAGATTATGACTTTAAAAAGCGTCATAACAGGCTTGTGGAAAGGATCCAAAGTTAGTGTGTTGCTATGTCGTCGCTAGGGCGTTGTTACGATGTTCGTATCTAATAAGCCAACCGTCATTTATTTCTGTGGTGTTCAGGTCTTAACTCAGGTCTCGTTTAATGTTCGTATTAAGGGATTTTTGATTGTTTGATTTGATTTTATTCACGCTATATCATCAAAGGTGTGTAAACGCTGCGTTTGGTCAGTTATTAAAGTCAGGTGCAGTACGGAATCATTCGCGTCCGTAACAAAAACGTTCCAGGATCAGCTACACACACTGAAGTAAAGCGGGAATCGCTAGGTTTTGTTTAAATATAGTATATAGTCACACGATGAGCAGTAACAGCAGTACTTCCCTTAGCAAACACAGCTAAAAAGCGAAGACCTCAGAGGCAAAGAGCGCAGAGTGAGCGCGCGCATTTCTCTCTCTCTCTCTCCATCTCTCTCTCTCTTTCTCTCCCGCGCGTTCGTTCATCCGGACAGATTCTTCTTCTTCTTCTCTCTCCAGTGGATACTGCAGGGAACACACGGATTGCCTCTAGGATGGATTGCTGAAACTCCCTTTTGTGCGAGATTATCCATTTATTTCTTTTCATTCCCTTCCCGTCACACTCTCTCGTCTCCATCCATCCATCCCATCCATGAGTCCGGACGGGTTCTGACTCGGACAGAATGCGGATCCTGGTGTTGATTCCGCTGCTGTGGGGACTCGGTGAAGGGGCTTTTCCCAGCAGTGTCCAAATCGGTGAGTTTACACTTCTAACACGACATATGCTACTTCATTAATTCTGGCAGGAATATTGCGGTGCAACAGATCTACTGTACATTGCTAATATTAATAAACAACACACAGAAAGAAGTAGCCAACACAAATGCAGACATTTAGCATGTTTACAATCATGCTAACATTGTATTGTGAAATGTATGCATGTTGAATTTGGGTTTTGCTCTTAAATGGACCCTAAATGGAGCAAAAATGCGTTTTGCTGTTGTTTATAATCTAAAAACTCCAATGGTACTTTAAAAAATGACTTTGGAGTGAAGTGAAAATCTCAAATTGGTTGATGAATGTTCTTAAAATTGGGGTAATTAATAAAAATGTCTTCAGTTTTCCCTAAAAAGTGATTAAATATGTTGATTTTATACTTTTATAATGTAATAATTGCAGATTGACTTGTAGGATCTCATAGTTGAGTTGTGTTGGTGTGTGTGTGTGTGTGTGGTCATCATGGTGAAAGTCCCTCACCAGTTCAAGGCATCACTGCAGTATTTTATCTTGTCTTTCTCATTATGCGATGACCTCTTGCCATCTGAGTCCTATCAAAGTTTCCAGATCTCAGCTCAATGTTTGATTAATATCATCAAACCATTATGCATGCCCACCCACCCTCTCTCTTTCTTCATGAACAAACACTCAGTTCCCTCTCTTTTTGCAGGATGTGTCTTGTGTGTGTGTGTGTGTGTTCAGTCACTGCATTGCTCATTGAGATGGAGAGTCTCACGCCATAATGAGATGCGGCCGCTGACTTGTGCGCCTTTGACAGCACTGCTGATAAAGTTAATACGCTAAATACAGACACACACACACACTCTCGCCGAGCAGGATACACACTGATGCAAGCAATGCCTAATGACATTTACATACCGCTGCAATGCAAATGCACAAAGCTTGTTTTGTTCATGGCAAATAAAAGCACGTTATGGGATCCCGAAACTGCAGTTCAGCCAAAACGTCCGTCAGAAAAGAAGAGAGAATAATTAGAGGGAGGATGTGATGATAAAACAGAACGTGACACCGGCCCTGCCAAGTGCAGACGCTCATGCTCTGGTGACACCAACAACAAATGTGATCTTCCACACAGATAATCTCCATGATTAAAGGGACAGTTCACTCTGAATAGAGCGGTTAACTCACCCTCCTGCAGATCCAGAGGACTGCGTTTGATCTGCGGAGCACAAAATCAGATGTTTAGCAGAATGTACACTCTGCTCAATCTTGCAAATATTTAACCCTTTTAGATTTTTCCCTAAGGTTATAGGAGGGAAGATTTTTTCAGCACATTTCTAACCATAATAGTTTTAATACTCATCTCTAATAACGGATTTTTTTATGTCAGCCATGATGACAGCACATCATATTTGACTCGATGGATTTCAAGTGAAATATAAATGCTTAATTAGGTTAATTAGGCAAGTTGGGGTAATTAGTCAAGTCACAATATAACAGTGGTTTATAATATTGGCTAACAGGGCTAATAATATTAACCTTAATTTTTTTTTAAAATGCTTTTATTTCAGTCAAAATAAAGCAAGATTTTCTCCAGAAGAAAAAAATATTAATATTATTGGAAATACTGCGAAAACGTCCTTAATCCGTTACATATTACTTGAGATATATTTGAAAAAGCATACATATTGGCTAATAGTTTTGCCCTCAACTGTATATAATCTATTTAAAGCATTCAAAATCATGCACCATTGAGTTTATTGTGCTATCAAATGCAGATATTGACAGTACTATTAATAATTATGTTAGTTATCTGCCATAGTCAGTGTAATATTTGAAAAATACACATATTTAAAGGGATAGTTCACTTTTGCTTGGCCTTCACTGGTTCCAAACCATTATGAGTGTCTGTTGAACGCATAAGATGCTTTGAAGAATGTTGGTAGTTTATAATCATTGCCTTCCATTGTATTTATCTTAATACTCTAGAAATGGTTGCAGGTTAAATTTTGGTTACAGGTTAAATTATACACCTGTGGTGCATCAAGACATTATTGGTGGTTATTGAGAAATATTTAAAGCACTGAAGACTCACAGCAAGAAGGTGGCTGGTTTGAGCCCCGGCTGGGTCAGTTGGCGTTTCTGTGTGGAGTAAAACATGTTTTGTAAAACATGTGCTGGATAAGTTGGAGGCTCATTCCGCCGTGGCGATCCTTGATAAATAAAGGGACTAAGCCAAAGGAAAATGAATGAATAAATATTTCTTTAA